GCTTCAAACTTCAGCGTTGGCTGCGATTTTGACGCTGAAATCGCGTTCGGTGTGAACGCAGCATTAGAGCTGATTTGAGACACCTGGCTGTGCTGCAAAGCTGATTCTGGATGACGTTGTTGGAAAAACACTCGACATGAACCAATCACTGCCTCAGATTTTATGTTCAAGAATATTGTTGGAGAAATRTCAAGATACAACTGTGAAAATGATAAGTTCACTTTCAACAGACTAATGTTGTCACCTTGTACTTTTTGTCTGTAAATGACGAAAAGTTTTTTAAATCAACAACTCAGCAGCTTTAAAGTTATTTTATGTCTCAGAGCCTGAGATAATGTTGAGCTGCTCCCTTCTCCTTTTCGCCACTGTCTGCAGACAACACCGGCTTTACACTCAGACACGCACAGACAATGTGCACACAACCCGCTCTGTCATTAACAGCTTGGTCCAAGAGGAGCGTTCAATGTTCAGTCCCACTGTAATTAATTATTTATTTATTTTTTAACCTTTGTTTCTTTTGTATATTTCTGATTAAACCTGTTTTCCACTTTATAACTGAGAATAACASWCAGGTGTGGAGGAGGACAGCTGTAATCTCTGACTTCAGTTCATCTCAGACCCCTAGTGRAAACTCTTAACCACTTAAGAGTCCTCTGGATCAGTCTGAACTTTTCTTGAGAATAAGAGTGATTCTTATTTTGATAACTGGCACTTACACTAAAGTCTGAGAGTAGGAGTAAATCTAAGAAATTTTCAGCACTTAAGTCTAAAAATCCACTCTAAGAAGTTTGTTAAATATGGGCCCAGATCTTTAGATGTCCTGAGCTCCAGGCTGGTCCACAGAGGGGAAAGTTGTACACAAACCAGATGAGACTTTTAGGAAMCTGGTCCATGAGACAAACCCAGACCTCTGTTCCCAGATCTTTGTCAACAGGTTTTTATTTCCTGCTCCAGGTCTCGTCTGGGTTGCCAGATCTGCCTGACAAAGTCTCTGGACGGCATGGTGGTCAGGGTTCCTGAGAGCGTCGCAGACATCCGACAAACCAAAGACGGGTCGTCCTAACCCGGAGGAACCTGGAGGAACCTGGCTGTKGGGGGAAGGGGGCGGGGTCTGCCACTGAACTGTTTCTTTTTTTTGTTTGTTTTTGTTCTAGAATAAAATATGAAGCAGCGGTTTAGTATTTATGATAAACTAATGTTTAGAATCTGGTTGTTTCAAACATTTCCTCCACATTTGAGTAAAATGTTGGAGAATAGAAACAGCTTCAAGTTCAAAACATTTAAAAGAAATTAAAAAACACGAAATGTGTATCAGTATATTTTTATTTCTATATAACCCTCAGTGTAACAGTTTTATCGTGATTGTACATACAGAAAAATACAAATAATAAAAACAAACCTTTCTAACATGCTGAATCTCACATTTTAAAGCTGCATGGTAGGCAAAAAAAAACAAACTTTAAAACCTGACAATCTGCTAAAGATGAGCACTAAAACGTCCTGTTTGTATCAGCTCTTTCAAAATAAAGCTGTCTTTAGACTATGAATAAATGATTAAAGGCAACAACAGGCGCTTGAATATTGGCAGGTTTGTTCCAACAAACACTTCCTATAAATTGTAAATTAGGTTTTAGAATTTTGATTTAGTTCAATTCTTTTGACAGCAAGTGTAAAATGTATCTACGCTAAAAACTGAAACTTGATTTCCATTAAAAAGAAATAAAACATCCAGCAAACAAACAGCTACTGTAAGGTGTCTGATGAATACTACCWGTAGACTTGAACGACCTCAAGTTGAGCATAAGGTTTGACTCTGACAGGAGGGATGAGCTAACAGTTAGCCTTGGAAGAAAACTGCATCAAGCTGAGCGCTACACCTAAAATAATCCCTTTTTAGCTGAATGCCAATTATAAAGGGTGAGTGAAAAAATCTCTACACATTTTTATTTCAGAAACAAAAGGTAGATTTCTGAATACTCCAGCAAAGTCATAACCAAAAAGTTAGCCATACTAATGTATAATCCACTAAATTAAAATATAGCTTTGCTAATGCTAAAACACTAAATGTGAAAAATATTTTTTTTTTTTTGCAGAAACTAACGGCTAATCACTAACCACCTTCGTCTCTTTCAGCTGAGGACTAGTGGGACTGATAAACCTGTTACGATAACGTTTGAGACTTTGGGGATTCCCTGCAATTCTTATGTCCCTCCTGGCTCTGTTGTATTTTGTTTTGTACTTTTGTAATTCTTTCATTTATAATAACGCTTAGTGGGGAAAAAATTGTTAGCAAAGTTAAAGTTGTCCAAACCTAGTGGAAACTAGCCAGCTAACAGTTTTCAAAGTTTGTATATAAAAAAAGTTAATTTGCTAAACCGTGTATCAAAGTCAAGGTCCATGGGCCAAACGTGGCCCATCACTAAATTGTATGTGGCCCGCAAAAGCTTCAAAGATATGTCTGAATATAAGCTGCTATAACCCAGCAAGTACATCTCCCATACTGCCTGTTGATTATTTTACCAGTGAGTAAACCAGATGGAGGTGCACAGGGTTCAACAGTAGCTGGAGAGTAACAGAGTAACTGTTTTATGGAGCCTACCTGGACTCTGTGAGCTGCAGCCACAAAACCTCCAACCTTCTTTCTGATTGAGGCCTGAAGTTATTTTACCATCGCCAAATAAATTGACAGAAGAATGGTAAATGGACTGGACACCTTTCTATCCAACCAGGATACTCAGAGCGCTTCACACTACAATCTCAGAGATTAGGAGATAGTAATGAGATTTGAGAGATTTATGGTATTTTTTGTGTGTTTGGATCCTGTAGTTAGGGTTTAGCTTAGTTTCTTTGAGCCAAAACAAAGCGGCATTTTTAGAACGTGGAGCTGCAGCTGATGCAGATGGACTGATCAGAACCTTTATAGACAGAAGAGGGAAGCTCAAAGGCAGAGATGGAGGCAAACAAAAACCCTCTGGTACTAGGGCTGCCACGATTAGTCGACGACTAATCGATTATTAAAATAGTTGATGACCAATTTAATAATCGATTAGTCTTTTTTCTCTCTCTCCAAACTGCTTTGACACCTTCCACTGCCACATCTGCCTTTCTGTCCTTGACACACATGCACAGTAGTGGTAACTGGGGTAGGCCGTGGACGTCACAAGACATTATACAGACAGGCTCTGGTATCATGGCTACCTGACAACGGAGCTCAAAAGTGTGGGATCTTTTTTAAGAAAATGAAAGAGAAACCTGTACAATATCTGCAGAGCAGAACTTACCTTCCACAGCCATTATTTTTAGTTAGCATATAGCTAAAATCTACCATGGTTATATAATAGCAGCTGCATTCTGGCGCGAGAAACTATGTTTTATTTTCAATTAACGTATGATCCGATTAGTCGACTGAAAAAATAATCGGTGATTAGTCAACTATAAAAATAATCATTTGTGGCAGCCCTATCTGAGACGGAGGGAGGACTTTGACAAAGAAGTAGGAGAGCATTGTTAGCCGTATGTCAGCCTGCCCGACAGCATTAATCGTAGTAATYACAAAGAGACAAATATTAAATTGGTGAAAAAGAATGTTCCCAGTTGTTGTTGCAACTTTGTGTGTCGATACCTTTTGAATCATAAGAGATATTGCACATCTGATTGCAGCAATCAATTTCTGAGACAACCAAGGTCGACCAAAGCGTTGCAGTTTTATTTTTAATAGGCCATAAGTGAATGATTTAGACGTGAAAAAGAAGGATTTAAAAGCATGATGACCACCTTCACATTGGGAACAACTTGTCCTTCATCCACTTTAGCAGCTTTTAGAACATGTTCTGGACATAGCCAAAAGATAGACCCCCTCACCCATTAACTGCTGGAGTATTCAGAAACTTCAGTTTCCCTCTTGTTTCTGAAATAAACAGGTGTCCTGGGTCTTTTGACTCAACGTGTGTATATTTTCTCATAAAATCCCACATAACTAAGTAAATACAAGTAAATGTTTTTAAAACTGCAGGAATCCACTTGCATTYAGGCCATGTACAACAGGTAAKATGATATTTGTTCACAGCAACACAGAATCAGGAGTGTATGAAATGGAAGGTTTGGCGCTCTGAGGTGTTCCACACTCAGACATACGACTCCTCGGAGAACAGAAGCTGCTCCAAGTCCGGGTCCAGGTTGGGATCGCTGCACCTCTTCAGCCACTCCCTGCGACCCTCGGCCACGGCCAACACCACCTGCTGGCTGCTCTGAGGACTGCTGCGGGGGTGGGAGGAGAAGTAGTCCCTCACCACCTTGGTGGCACATGGGGAGAGGCAGAAACCGGCTTCGGTGGCGCCCCGCTGTGGATCCGGCTCGGGCAGCTTTAGACCTGGGTCGCTGGGCAGCCTCGCCCGGGTGAAGGCGGAGGCTCGGTCTACGACCTGCCACCCCGGCTCGGAGCCCCGGCGCTGGTGGAGCCGCTCGTTGCTGTCCTCTGGACGTGGAGTCTGTCTCCGCCTGAACAGGGACAGAGACGGCCCGCTGTGTTTGTGGAAGGGTGACGGAGACGGCTGCTTCTGTTCGGTGGTGTTACTCTGCGCCGGACGCCTCTTGACGATGTCCAGAGAGGACTCCGGTTTTGGATGTTGGCTGACCCCTCCTGCATCCTTTGAACCTCTGCGGTGGGGTTTGGGTTTAGTCCCTTTCTCGGTACCTACCTGTTTGGAGAAACACTTTTATAAAAAGTTTAGGTTTTTTAAAATGAGTAAAGAAACGTCCGCTCACCGTTTTGTCATCTTCATCCACGTTCTGACCTTCTTGCTGGGTCAGCGAGAGCCTCCGGTCTTTCTTCAGCCATGAGTTTGGGTGTAGACCCATGCAGCCCTTCATCGCCCCCCAGTGGTGAGGGTCTTTGGCCGGAGAGTCTTTAGAATGGTTCGAGAGATCGCTGGGGGTCCGAGCAGAGCCTGAGGCGAAGGGCGACGGAGGAGGGATGCAGGGTGGATCGGTCGTCAAGGTCCCGGATTGCTCGGTGCCGAGGGAGTCCAGGGAGTCCAGGGAGGAGCGGGTGGGGGCGGGGGAGGTAGAGGACAGGCTTGAGAAGCTGGCCCCTAAAGCCGCTGATGGATATCCCTTCTTGGTGTGGGTCTGAGTGAGCGTCTGGCTGCCTTCGTCCCCCGCAGCAAGTCCATCTGCGCTGCCCGAGATGTGTGGACAGAACCGGGCGGCGTACGCTATCGCTGGCTCGGAGCGCCGCCGCCGCTGCTGCTGCAGATGTGCTCCCTCTAGGGACAGTGAGTCCAGGGTGGGGGAGGTGTCCTCGGCACGTACCTTCGGTCTCCTACGTCTCTCTGCGAGGTGAATCCGGATGCCAGGCAGACCATGGGTTTTGGTTCGGAGCGCCTCCGGATCAGCGTCCTGGTCGTAGTCGCTGAAGGTGAGGATGGACTCCAGGCTGCTCTGCAGAGCTTTGAAGTGGAGAGGTCTCTTGCTGCAGGAGCTTGGAGACCCCCCACTGATAGCGTCCAACTCGTTCTCCAGGCTGTCGTAGGACGAATCAGTCAGAGGGTAAACCCACGACTCTACAGACAAAAAGATCCATTATTTTATGTCAAACTAATCTAATCACCCATAAAAACAACAAAAATACTTAGAAATACTCCAGTTTTCCAGTAAACCTCGCCTCATATTTAYTACCTGTTGATCATGTTTTTGTATTGGTAAAATATCCCACGAATCTATCTGATTCAAGATGGCCAACATAGAACAAAGTGGCAAAGCCATTCATCCGTCAGTCTTGTGAGCTGATAGGTTGAAAAAAATGTGCCAAAAAATAAGTATGGCACTGCTTTCCATTTAGTTGTGTGGATGCATCTAGATATAAGAAAGGATCCCTATCAAAAACTGGGTCGCYACATTTGAATCCAAGATGGCCGCTGCCAAATATACCTATAAATGTGAACGGGCCGCCCCGATCCTTTGAGGAAATTATACTTCTAGTTTTTATGTTGCTTCAAAATCTAGTTTCCAYAAATGATTGKGGTGGCCAAAGATTAATCTGTGGTAGTTAAGACCACCATTGATCTCCCCCTGGCTGCACCAGTGTACCCGGTGGTGGGTACACCAGTGTCTGTCATGCTTCTTCTACACAGCCTAAAACATTCAGGTTTATTTACATGATCTGTCCGGAAAAACACTTAAAAAAAAAACTAGTAGACAAGAGTCATTCTCAACACATTTATCACAATTATCTGTAACTTCGACTCCTTATTTTAAAATGTGTAYGAAGTAGAAAGTCATTACTCCTGTTTCTTTTAGGCTTGTTTTTATTCTGGCTTGTTATTGTTAACATAAAGAAAAGAAGAACTGTCCAGATATATGCTGTGTCCTGGATAGTGTATTTAACTGTGGTTGGATGAGTAGTATAAATATATACCATACTGAAACTCTACTGGTTTGTACAGGACACAAATCATGTCACACTCCAGAACAGATTAGAGATGTATGCAGCTGAAACAGGAAGCCCAGTGCATCTCAAAGTTTTCATTATAACATAACATTTTAGTCATTATGGCCTTTAGAAACATGTTTTATAGGGAAGTCACCTCCCAATAAATGTTAATTTGGAATTTTTACTGCTAACTTTTACTCAGTACTTATCCTTCTAATACTTAAGGACAGTTTGWATTAGAAATTTACTTTCAATATTTAAGTACAATAAATATCAGATACTTTAAGAATTTTACTCAAGTAATATTCTTAGCGAAGACTACAACTTTTACCAACGTAATCTTATTGGAAGATACTTTTAGTGGAGTATAACTTTGAGGTAAAGATTTGATGTTTGATGACAGTCTGAACCGGGTCGTGTTGCTGCTGTACCTGGACCCGTCTCATCGCTGCTCGGCCTCCTCGGGGGACCTCCGAACAGGACCGAGGGCTCCTCTCCCAGGATCTGAGGGCTGCGCTCGATCATGAACTTCACCAGCTCACAGACCTGCCGTGACACCAGAGGAACGAGGACCTCCRTCAGCCAGAAGCCCTACCAGTGTGTACCACTTCCTGTTTTCACTCTGCGTCATTTCTAAGCAGCTGTTCCACATTAAGAAGATTAATCATAAGTTTAGACACTTTTCTGGAATGTTGACTTGTTTAAGAGGCTCAGAAAGTTTAATTTTAGAACTGTTTGACTTTCTGCTCTCGACCCAAAWTATAAAAATGTCAAACTGTTCTAAAAAAAAAAAACCCTTTGAGCCTCAAACAAGTTGACATGCCTCAGATAAAAGCTGGAGATTTGGAAAAGTTGCAGTAAATCACAATTAGCAAAATGTAAGGGATCCAATAATTACGCAGTGACACTCTTTTATGTGATTCATGTTTTATAACCAGTCACAATAAAGACCTTTGTAATAATGAGTTAATAATTTCAGATTTGCTGCATGTGGCTCACTTGGATTGAATCCCGGCCCGGGGGCCTTTCTGGGTAGGATGTAGGTGTGTTTTCTCTGGGCACTCCAGCTTCCTCCCACAGACCAAAAACAGGACTGTTAGAATAATTCTCTAAATTGTCCCTAGGTGTGAATGAGAGAATGAATGATTGTTTGTCTCTGTCCCTGTGATGGACTTGCTGTCCAGGGTGTCCCCCGCCCCTCACACTGTGACTGCTGGATGTGGGCACCAGTGATCCTGAAAGGAATTTCAGATTCTTCATCTCTAAAGTTTCCAAATGATCTGTAATTTGTTGGAATTTGGTGATTTTGTTAAGTAAGTGTTGCTTTGAAAATTGAATTCTCATTGGTTTGGAATGATGTCATCATGAACTCGGACCAAAGGRGGAATCTCTGGCGTTCAAAATGACACCAAACATTATATGAAGGGATTTCCAGGCAGAGAAAAACAAACAATTTCAAAGAAAATCAAAAGGATTCATTTTGGAGACAAACTGTTTGAAAACCTATATTTAAAGACAGCTTATRAGAATTATATATTTTAGTTGCAGGGATCAGATGCCAACACGTAAAGTTGAATGGATTATCCATAAATTACAAGGATTTTCCACCGTGTTGCATGAATACAGACGTATAGAGAAAATMTCACAGATTGTTTTCAAAAACTCAGCTTCATATTTACCTTACATGTCAGAGCCTGTATGGAAATGCTGTTCCCTCCTCCCACTAGACTGTACCTGTTCCCCTGCAGACGCTGCTGTTGTATACTATGAAAGAACTACCGTMCTCATTTTATATGAAATTTATGGATTTCTGAAGGTTGTTATGTAGGTAAATGTCCGAAATGTTGACATGTMTGAAGATGACATCCTTATAGACTCGTTTTTACACAAAGCTCCAGAATATATAAAAAAATGTTTTCAGGTTTAACGCAGCCTGAGCTTCTCCTTATGGAAGCCCATTTCYRCCACCCTGATAAAAAAATAAAACTTGTATCTCATAATTATGACTTAGCCATCTCATAATTATGAGATAGTATCTCATAATAATGAGATAGCTAAGTCATAATTATGAGATACAAATTTTATTTATTTTTTATCAGGGTGGCGGAAATGGGCTTCCATATCTCCTGACTCTCATCACTTATTACTATTCTATTTTATTATTTCAAACTTAATCTTCCTTTTGTCAATTAAAAAAGACAAAGAATGTTTAAATTGTATAAATACAATTTAAACAAAATAAAAATAAATTTCCACAGTAATATTTAATCATTCAAGGTTTGAACAAGGTACAGAACATTTTTAAATATTCATTCTTTTAAAGACAACCGTAGTTTGCAAAACTTTTACCAGCAACTGCTGTGAACCTTCATCATAACAAACAACTAACTCTGGCCTAAAGATCTTAGTAAAGTAATATAAATACAAATGACCTTTTTCGTTCCCTCTCCCTCCACCTCGGGGCTGCCCAGCAGGCCAGGAGGCCAAAGCAAGCTGGGAGCGATGCAGACGGATAAATTAAAACTGGTCATCTGGTTCTCCTGAGCGTTGCTCTGGATGCCGTGCAGCAGAGCCAGTAAGTACCGGAGCAGCAGGGCGTTCTCTTTGGCCAGGCGACAAATCATCCTGWGTCAGAATAAAAACAAGAACAAAATAAAAACTAGTAAGAAACGTACAAACCCAAAACAGATGGGACGTAAAATGTGAATTTWAAAAAATGACTGTGACGATTTGTCAATTTTATAAACACTTTTTTTAAATTCACAGTATAACAAATCTTTGTGCACCGATGTCTTCCACAAATGCTGCTTAAAGTTCTGCTGTGCAAAAAAAAAAAAAAAGGGAATGCGGCAAAGTGGAAAACTATTTTGTGGTCAGGTGGATCCGAATCTGAAATCCTGTTTGGACGCCACATCCTGCATACTGAAGCCGGGTTCCCACCAAACGTGTTTGGAGCAGACAAAATTTTCCTGCCGCATGCGTTTGGCTGCTTGTCAACAGCTGTCCATTCACATCGAACGCGTCTGAAGACGCGCAATGGGAGGAGTGTCTTTCTTCGTTTTCCGGTTTGTTGACGTTTGAAATAAAGATAAAATAAATAAAATAGCTTTGTTTTATTTACTAAAGAGCAAGCGAACGTTGCGCACAGCAGATAATTAATTCACCAGATAATTTAGAGGTGGTTTAGTTTCGCCACTCCAGCGAGCTGAGGGACCTTTTTTTTTTGTCCCGAGGTCAGCGAGCTGCTGTCTCATCACATCGGTGCTGATAACTCCAGCCAGAACACCAACTGCAGACTGTCAATTTCAGCTAAAGGCTCCTGTCCGTCTGTGTCGGGTTCATGAAACCGTCACATGAAAAAAATATTCTCCCCCGATTGGTTGCTGCTGTGTGTCGAGCAGCCAAAGTTCAATTTGTTGGACTCCAGAAGCCGCTGCTTTGGACATGCCGCATGCACGGAAAACGCTCTGCCGCATCCTACCGCTACCTTGCGCACTGCTCTGAACTGCCAAAACGTGCCGCAACACTCTGCGCTGCTCCTAGATGCGCGGCCACCATAGACTTTGCATGTAAACTGGCTGCTTTGGCTGCTCCAAAYGCGTTTGGTGTGTACCCAGCTTGAGAGAGACCATTCAGCCCATTATCAGCAAACAGTTCAAAARCCTGCCTCTATGGTRATGGTATAGGGGTGCATTAGTGCTTTTAGTGCAGTTATTTTACACGCCAGTTGWAAACATTTGGCATGTCACGATTGTTGTGTTGACTGTTGAACAGCTACAATCCTCCATCAGACCAGAATGGAACAACATTCCCTCCAATTCCTYCTGAACTGATCTCCTAGACTGCTATCAGCCTGCCTCTCTGATGGTGTGGGGGTGCATTACTGCACAATCTGGAAAGTTTTAGAACATCTGCTTCACATCCAGATGCCATCCTTTCCAGAGAAGGTCTTGCAGATTTCAGCAAGATGATGCTGAACTACAACCTGCTTTTACTGCTGCCAGAATTTTTTTTCACAGAAAATCCCTGAAATCCTCAGTTTAAAGAAATGTTCGTGTAGTTCCACTGAAGATAAAATATGGATTTATCAGGTTCACTGATTTCTATTTGTATTTTACATTTTACCRTATTTTAAAGTTGAGGTTGTATTTGAGTCTCTAAGTACCTCTTTATGTCCTGCACCTGTTCTTCTTCCTCCTCCTCTTCCTCCAACACGTCCATCCATTCCTCAAACAGCTCACAGCCCAGCAGGCTGCCGGGGATGCTGCGCAGGAAGTCCTGTATGAGAGAGATGTGCAGAAGCTGTAATCCCTCCAGATGATAATAGATGATAATCCAGATTACATTGATGAGCCCGTGTGAACAGCTTGTCCTGCTAATTCAGCTGCAGAGTGGGTCAGCAGATTAATGGTCTTACAGATGTCGGTCAATAAAGTTGAGCAACAACAGTACCTTGAAGACTCCGGCTACGATGAAGATGTGGTCTCGTGAGAGTGGGAGCTGGGACTCCCCGGAGTCCAGAGAGTCCCGCAGGTCCCTGACGGAYCGCGCTCCCGCTGGCCGACGGAAGATCCCCCTGGTCCAGGAGCCCTCGTGATACAGAAACCCAAGCATGTCCTGGAGTTAAAGGGGGAGAAAAAACATAATCTGTAAACCTGAATTTAAACAGCATTTTTAATGGTAAACAGACTGTACTTATATAACACCTTCTATTCAACCAGGATACTCAAAGTGCTCCACACTACAATCTATGTCCTCATTTACCCATTCAGCACTCTATTAGTTTAGTTTATTCACTCATTTCATTTAAAAGCAAAGCAAATTCAATAAACAAAAAAATACAAATGAAAATTAAAATGAAATGCAGCAGAAAGAAGAAAAAATCTTGTAATATCTGTGCCTTTTTCCATCAAAAAATTCAAACAATAAAAAACAGAAAAAAATTAATTAAAAAAATTTATTCTTTCTCAGACCATTTTTAAGGATACATATTATGTCATTTCATATTTCTTCAACAGACTGGATTGTACCATTCTCCTAAACTTGTACATTGATCCTGAACTTTTAATATCATTCTCCAGATTATTCCACAATTAGATCGCACTACAAAGCTAACTTGTACAATCTATGTATAGAGACTAATCAGTGCTTTAAATCACACTCATACACTGATGGGACACACACCAGAGGCAGCGGGGGTTCAGTGTTGTCCCCAGGAATACTTTGAAATGTGACTGAATAACAGGTAATCGAACTGCCAACTCTCGCATTAGAGGACGACTCCCCTAACCACTCAGCCACAGCCGCCCATAATTTAATGTTTAATCTGATGATATAAAATGTAAACTTTTTTTTAATAGAATGAGGTGAATTTGACTTTGAAGACAGCGACATGTTTGTTTAAATTTGTCCGAGGTGGTCTGAGGAGACCAGTTCTAGAGGTTTTAGAGGATTTGAGAGATTTGGAGGTTTTAGATGAACTGATGAGACCAGTTCTGGAGGTCTTGGAGAATGTTGTGCCATTCTGGTCTGATGGAAGATTCTGGCTGTTCAACAATCCTGGATTGTCGTCCCTGAATTTTTTTTTTTATCATGAAAGACTAAATTTTTTCAAGTGGTGTGTAAGCTGCCTGTGCTAGAGGAGCTAATGCACCCCTATATCATCAGAGAGGCAGATTTTGAACTAGGTGCTGATAAGAGTCTGGATCTGCAGTATGGAGGACACATTTATGGAGGACACATTTTCCAAACAGAATTTCAGATTTAGATCCGTCTGACCACAGAACAGTTCTTCACTTTGTCTCAGTCCATCTTGTTTGCGTGATAGAGCTTTAACCAGCATTAATGGAAGGCATGGTGAACTGTGTTTACAGTCCASGCAGTGATGTCCAGAAAAGACTCACAGCTGTTTTTAAGCAGTGACTCCTGAGGACCCTGAAGCTCACGACCATCCAACATTGACTTTCAACTTTTGAGCTCAGAGATTACTAGCAGTATTAGCTTTAACAGTAGTAGCAGTGTTACCAGTAGTAGCATTAGAGTAGTAGCTTTAGCAGTAACAGTGTTAGCAGTAGTAGTTTGTTAGTAGTAGCACAAATTTCCTTTGGTTTGTTTCTGATTCACTCTTTTTTCAGACGTGTTGTTGCCATCAAATTCAAAATAATTTAGCTGTCCTACAAGACAGTTCATACATGATGTTAACTTCTCCTTCTTGGAAACCATACTTTTAAATTGGAAAAATAAAAATTATCTTAGCATTAATCGGTATAGAAATCTTCTGTTAGATCACTTTAGTCTTGAAACAGCCTCTGCCGCCAACTCGGATCAGTTTTTTTGGGCTCCTTTGATCGGTTTCATCACATAGTGATGTTGGGGGGTTGTGGGGGCATTGAAGCTGAT